ATGGAAGAAACTAGTGTATAGTATATCTGACACAAGTCGGTGTTTTCTGTGCATTCTGTGTCAAATATGTGGGGGCTCAATCACCGGAAGCCACTGCAGTCTGCATGGAGCAAGTGATTGGAGGCTGCAGTAAATGGTAGATGTGGACTGTTGGAATTGATGTCTAATGACGTCATCGGTGTTTACTCAGATACCAATGAATGCCGGTGCCACTCTTGCCACTTCATTTGGGGAGTCTGGGGTACTTGCTTTTTAGAATTGCCAATTCATAGAGGTCCATTTGATACTGTTAGCAAAGGGAATCTGCTGTGTTTTATGCATGGGCACAACAGAACCAGACAGCAACTTAGTACCCCCTTCACAATTCATAGTCAATGCCATCTTGAGGTACAGAGTGCAACTGGGGACTTCCTAAATTTGCATGTTTTGCCAACTGGTAAGAGTATTGTATGCCCAGGATATTTAAACACACACACAAAAAGGGAGTGGAGACAAATAACACATCTCTCCTGAGGCCTATGCCATGGGGTGGCAATGGTGGCCAGACCCTCATTTTGGAAATGAGATACGATAAGCCTTGAACCTGGGTCATCTTTATGGCTACCCTAAATAAGTGAGGCATCGATCAGAGCACAAAGAGATCTCAGAGGCAAAAGCAAGAGCAGCCCCAGGACCCCGCTGATCGACACACACACCACTAATTCACCTCAATGGGAAAGCACCTCTGAGCTCAATTAACCCTTATTCCCAAGGCCACCAATAAACCCTGAGGTAAACACGGCTCTCCAGACCCTGGCTTTCTATCAATGAAATAGGTCATTTCTATTGGAGGCCCAGCTTGTAAATTCACCTTGCTAATCAAGAGCCTGGTGCTCCTGGTGCAAGCTGGCCAGCAGGCACTAGAATCATGTAGCTCTGGTTCTATAAGCCAGACAGTTTTAAACCGCTGAGGGCATTTGTGATTTCGTCTGTGTTCTGAGGTGATTTGAAGAAAATATATATATTCTGGAGGTGGAAGAGGTGATCAGGAATGTCCCCAGTGCAATTGTCTGCCCCACATGTTAGTTGTTAAATATGTACTGGAAGCCAAATGATTTCTCTATTTTTTTTTTTTTTTCTTTTAATTCTTCGCTCTCTTTTTCTTCTCACAGCAGCCATTGTTCAAAAGCAAATTGGAAATCTGGTAATTAGGCCCTGACTCACAGTGTAGTATTAAAGTCCCAAGCCAAAGTTCAACACCCTGAAATGAAATTTAAACCAATTAATCTGTTAGATTTTTATCGCTTGTCCGTGTTTTCTCAGCAATTCCCCCAGCACGTGGCCTTTGATCAACTCTCATACAAACGCTAAAATGTGTGCCTGCTGCTAGCAAGACAGAATGACATTAACATGGTCCTCATAAAACAATCAGAGCAGAGAAGCCCTCAAACAGGGAGGGCATAGTAATATTTAATAAAAGCGCACACATAATCTTCAGAATTAGCATTTTGTGCCTTGCAGTACCTTGGGGAGAAGAGCTTTTATTTGTGGAGTGATCATTATAACAAAGAGGCGCTACCTAATAATTCCCACTTTAATTCTGCAACGTGCCAGGAGCATTTCAGAGCCATTATGCTAAACTGGTGAGGTAATCATGTTATTGTCACAGTTTGAAGGAAGGAAAATCTCTACTTTGGTGGCTGGTGAGGGGTGGGGGGGAAGCATTAAAGAAGAAGAGGGAAAACTTTTATTTTTAATGAAATTTAGAACCAGAAATGGGTCTGTTGCCCTTGTGGACAGAGTGTGAAAATATGCTGATGGGAAGGAGTCTTTCATTAATTAAACCATGAATTTCCTGCTTTAAAAAAAGAAAAAAGCAACCCCACTTTCAAAGCTGTCCCTTCACTTCCCGAACCATAATGTTTTTTTTGTTTGTTTGTTTGTTTTGTTTTGTGAAAGAATGCTATTGATTATCTCGGCTCACTATTGAACTCCTGTAAATCTCTTCACTGTCATATTCTTCTAAATCTATCCAGTGTGACTGTTGAAACAGGGATCTTTCCCTGCTTTTGTGAGGAGGTGGGATAATGAAAGTGAGGCCCTAGCTGCTTCCAAGGTTCTGTAGCATCCTTAGACAACTTACCAACTGGACAGAGGGGAGACCCAGACACACCAAGTTCCCAGCTAATGTTAGCTGTTCAGCTTAGTTCTTTTTAGTATTAATTCTCTCTAGAAAGTACAGATGTTACCACATGTCCTGCTTCACTGAATTTTTTACTCATATATTACCTTAATATATGCTTAGAGGAAAAGCTTCAAGCCATATAAACGTTAATAGAGTTAAAATTAATAGCCATCTTTTCCTGTCAAACCCTGTCCAGTCACATTTCCTTTCCATAACGACCCACTGTAGATAACTGATATGTGTCCTGTCTTCTAGACATTTGTCTAGAATACCTGGTCACATGTCACCTGGAATCATACATGCACACAAATATTCATACACATAAAAGCTTATTTATACAATTTCAAAGTAGCTGGAATACTTTTCATTAGTTTGAAGTTTGAATTGTTATCTACTTATTTTCTACTTCCCTCAGGATTTTCCCTCTGGAATCCAGGAAGATAGTATTATGTTGGTTCCTTAGTCCTTTAGGGCTTAATGCCTCTTCCTTTCTTCTGGCTAGTTGACCTATATAGGTTGGCTTTTGAACAGTTGCTCCTAGTATTTGATAACATTATCACTTTCCTTAAGTTCAAGTGTTTCCAAGCATACACACACACACACACACACACACACACACACACACACACACTCATATAGCCCCATACTCCCATTCACCTCTAAACATCTATACATTCACATCTACCCAGCCCCCCCCACACACACACACGTGTGAGTGTGCATGCATGTAGGTGCACATGTATGAATGCATATGTATACAAGCATGTACACATTTGTACTTTGTAAATAACAAGAGGATAAACAAGGAAAGGAATTGAGTGTAAACTAAGCAGGTCTTGACCATGTAAGTTCTCCCCTGTAGGCAGATTTTTCTTAGACGCTCAAACATGCCCTTCCATGTCATTTTATGCTATGGTAAGGAGTTTGGAAGAGACTTTATTTGCCTAGACAATTATGTCTGCATCATAAAAAAATAAATAAAATCAGAAACACCAAAGCTAACATGCAGATACTTTTGAAATCTGCAAGGGCAAACATAGCCTCAGCATTTAATGATACTACTGGAGTCCATGTTTTGCAATTAGATGGGATTCTCATACCCAGTTCATCTAAGCCAGTATTGAATATTTTTCCAAGGCATCTAAAGAGACAGCAACACCTTTTGCATGTGACCCTTGTGCTTGAATATATTGAGTTATAAATCAATAAAATGCGATCTGGCCATATTAGCAAAATGTTTTCAAAATGGTTATGTTTCATTAATTTTTCATAGTTAAATGTAACTTACATATTTTATAAACATCTTGAAATCCTACATTGTGTTATGTCATTGCTTCAGAAGTCTGTAACCAAATGTGTCAACATTTTAGTCTTCAAGAAAGCTTTTGTATAAGAAAAAGTCCAGTGCCCTTGAGACACTTATGCTCCACCCTGTTTAGGTCAAAAATTGGACAAAAATGAAGTCCAGTCATGGATCCTTTCTATTTTCTTGATTAATTGCTTTGTTTGGGGATAAAATGCAGGAAAGTAAATACCCAAGCTGCCCTGTTTCAGCTGCAGATGTGTTCCTGTGAGTTCAGCCAACACCAAATGTTTGGTTTGGATGTTTTCAAACTTCTCTGCAAGTTTTTGAGGATTAATTTGAATCAAAACCAACACCATCCTACTTGTTTGTGTGGTGGCACGTGAACACTAGTCCCACTGGGATTAACTTAATGTTTTCTTTGCTCATTGCAAAAGCTAAAACATGAGACTTTGCCAAATTTGACAAAGTCCAATACTAATTATTATTATTTTTCCAGTACTTCCCATTCACATTTAAAATTAACTGGTGTTCTCCTTGGCATTAGTGCCTGGGAAGTCAGTCTTGAATACTTAATTTTCATTGAAGAGGATTGATGGTCTCTCTCTTCTTGCACAATGGTTTGCTGTGGTGCTGTTTCTGAAAGTAATCAGTATCATAAGGACAATAGCATGTCACTGATGGCAAAGATCCTTTGTGGCATCAAGCCGCCTTCAGAGAGGTTTCAAAGTCATAATCCTACCACTCCATGTATTTTTAGTAATTCTGCCCAGAATAAGCAATGGTCATTAGGAAAGCGACCTAACTTGTGCTGGCAATCACAGCCTTTGCAAATGAAGGTCATTTGTAATGGAAAGAGATACCTACCAGTCAATACATTTTTATGCCTTGGAAACACAATAGAGCCAAAGTCATGAAGACAGTCTGTGGTTCAGCAAGACCACTGCTATTTGTTTGTATAATTTATCCCAAGTGACCAGTTACTTTGTATCTATAAAATGGGACCCATGACATGTATCTGAAAAAAACTGTAATGACTTTAAATGAGGAATGTTGCTGCATTAATGTAACAGAGAGAAAAACAGGAAACAAGAATCCTTCCTGCTCCAGCCTCCTGCTTGCCTTGTTAGCCACCTCCAAATGGACAGGAATGTTCGCCTAAGAATGTAGACATTTTCACTTCACCAACTATATTCAAGTTTTAAACAATTCTATAAAGTTTCCACTGCATTGGAATCTCTAGCATTTGATAAATTCAGTTTGTCTTCTGTGTTAAATTTAACAAGCATTCAAGATGAATAAAGAGATGGGCGAAATGTATGCATCTCAATAGAAGCAATGAAAAAGATGCCTTTAAGAACTGAAGTTGCTCCCTGGGTTTCTGGTCCTAGTGTGGCTAGGAAATGTTCAGGTCTTAAGGGGCTTTCTGTTAGTGAAAAGATAAAAGATTTTTTTTTCTTTTTCTCAAGTCTCCCATCATTAAAGTTTGGTTCTAACAGCAGACTCCTTCTCTTTTTCATGTGTGTTGAAAAGCAGCTACTCCCTGTATCAAAGCCATCAGCCCGAGTGAAGGATGGACGACGGGAGGTGCGACTGTGATCATCATAGGGGACAATTTCTTTGATGGGTTACAGGTCATATTCGGTACCATGCTGGTCTGGAGTGAGGTAGGTGTTGTCTGAACATTAATATCTAATAGCTTGGTCTAGTTGAAGACTCTGTCTATACTTGAATTTCTAATAGAATATGTAGGATTTAGTGGTACCACTCTGGGTGGCCCACCTCCAGTCTACAGAACTTTGGAAACTAGGAAAGATGAACTAGTTTCCCAGGAGGCAATGCTTGCTGTTGGAATCATTTCCATGTAACCCATGAGCACCAACAGAGCTTCCTGTTTGGTGTTTGTCTTCTTGGACTTGTCATAGGGTGATTGGTCCTTTTGTGTAATGGGAAATGGAAAGATGTTCAAATCTTAGCAAGTCAATTATGTGTGGGTATACCACTGACAGAATCTACTATGGGTTGAGAGTTAGAGCCTACTATTTGGATGACAGTTATAATGAAGGGAGCCCTTGACTTACTCAGAGACTCTCAATCAGAGTGAGTCACTGGGGGACCCTGGAGAACCCAGGGTTTTTCCACAGTAAGAGCTTTCAGCTTTATAGTGTGACTCCTACCATGTGGCCATGACTGTGTGCAGTGCTTTCAGCATGGGGATCTGACCTGGCTGATGCTTCTGGCAAATAACAACTAGCATTTATTTATTTATGATCTCAGACAGAACAGGAGCATCACCACTTCAAGGAGGCCATGATAGACATCTAGGTATCTGAATTTGGAGCTCAGGTATCTTAGTCAGCCCATTCAAAATCTCCATTAACCTTGAAGTACAAAATGAAAGCAGAGTCTGGACTATAAGAGGTGGCTCCACAACATGTTCTCCAGGTAGTACTACTTGATCAGCTTTGTGGAGTCTTGGGATCTCGGCCATATATTCAGCATTTGAGGGACTGTCCACCCTTCTCTCTTTACTACCAACAACAAGCTATTTAGATGTAGCCTTCTTGATAAGTACCTTGAACCTTAGAGGGAAATGGCCATTGGACTAAAGTAGTGACCCAGAGCCCTCAGGAGGTCCAATGTGTATGCAGCCACACAAAGAAGTAAGAGTCAGCCTTGGTGGGCACCAAGCTTTATGACTTCTGATTCTAATTGCTGTAGCATGGTGCCACCATTTAGCTCTTTTAGGAAGCTTTGCCATCTTTTAGGGGGCTGCAGGAATGAGATGGGAGTTGGCTGTGACAGTAGAGCATGTTTTCCTGACTAACACAACCAAAGTAGATCTTGTCCATTTTAAAGCTCTCCACATACTCTGCACCAGCAGCCACCAGCTCCACGTGCCAGTCATCCCTGCCAGCATGCTGCTACAGCCTCAGTCGTTTCACACTCTGCCAGAGCTTTAAAGCTCTTATGAAGTTGAATCTGAACCAGACTTATCAGTCCATCCAACTAACTGTTATCTAAGCTAGAACATTCTGGGCAAGAAAAGTGTACTAAATGTCCTCCTGCCAACTGTCCTTCATTTTTCACTGGAAGCATCAGGGTATACATGAAAGGGATCATCTCCATGGTTATTTTTTGCCAGTTGGGGTCTTCAGCCTGATGTGAACAGTGGCCTATGGGAGAACAGTCTTTCCCAGGAGCTGGGAGCCACATCTTCAACCTTTCTGTCACCCTTTCTGCTGTTTATTGGGGGGGGGGAACAGGGGAGTGGGGAAGAGTAAACTCAAGGTGGTCCCTTGCTCTGTGTCATGACAACCAGATGAGGTATGGGGTAGAAATCAGAATGAGCAGCAAGTCTCATGGTCTAATCCAAGGCAGCCAGAAGGAACATGTGCCCATTACAGCCCAAGAAAGCTCTACTGGAGGGCGGGAAATGATATACCAGAAACTCACATATTTGTGCCCCATCTTGCCACTAGTTTGACAAGGTGGCATGCCCTACCTTCTTCTGTATTTCCCACTCTTGTTAGTGAAAAGATAACCAAGGTTAACATCATCTACCTTAGGTTCGCCAAAGTCGGCTACCAGATTATTTCAAAAGATCCATTTCTATAGAATGACTTACAGGGAAGGCATGGAAAGGAGAGCCCACAGGAACCGTGCTTTTATCCTTCTCCCACTTCTGAGTCCCTAATACCACCACCACACATTGCTCAGGGTCAAGGTGGCCCCTAGGAGGAGAGTGACAGGGCATCTGCTGGTTCTTTGCTTTTTTTCCTTTTCCAAAGTGTCCTTGGGAGCCATGTCTTAAATCAGGAGTTCTGTCTTGGTGGAAACTCATATTGAGAATTTAGTGGATATCCTTGTCAAATTAACAAGGTCACATAGCCAGATAGTGCCAGACGTTAGATCTGAGGCATACAGTGTAATCTTAGAATGTAGAAGTCCTCCTATTAACAAGAACAAATGTAATCTTGAGCAAGGGTGATGGAAATGCATGGGGGAAATGGGAGTGAGCAGAGCAACACAGCAGCAGAGAGCTGTAGTAACAGAAGCAGTGGAGGTAATGATGGTGGTTAATTGTAAAATTTAAATAAGAGCCAATAAAACAAAATGAAATGACATGACCATCTTTTGTTTTTGACGGAGAAAAATAAATTGTCAATCAAGTTCAAAGCCATTTGTCAAGGTGTGGGTTGGATCGGATCACAGCTCAATGTTGTATTTTAAGATCTGGTATCCACAAACAGGCTTTAGGAAAACACAGTCTAAGTAGCTGGCATTCTTGGAGTCCTTACTTCCAACCAGGCAGCATGCCAAGTGTTTGTGATGGCTGTCATGCAAGCCTGGGGACCACTGTACACAGTGCTACTGCTCTCTTTCAGGGACTGGAGCAGGAGCTCAGGGGATGCTGTAAGTTGGTCAGCTACCAAGTTTTCCCATGTTAGATGTGGGACTTGAACTCACAGGTTCACTTGTGGGGCTCACCCTCACAACAGTTCCTTCTTTAACCTGTACCATGGTTCCCATCTGGAGATCTTAACCCCCGAGATTGGGGTGTTGTGCCCACCCTTGCTAACACTATCCCATGCTGGGGGAGTTCTACCAGTACTACCACCTTCAGCAATCTGTATAAGGGCCATGTCTCAGAAATGAAAAAGGCAAATCCTTCATCTTTCAGTCGTGTATATTTTGGTTGGAGTCACTAAGTTCTAAGGAGAATTTGTCCTTATGAGTGAAAGGACACATGCTGTAGCCATGGAGCAAGACAATTAACCTGTTTGGGCCTCTGCTCTAGAATTGGTTCCTGTTTATCCAGTGTCTTTATCTGTAACCATGTGCTTGATGGGTGTGCCATCTCTAAGATCCAGTACCTGCACTCTGAAGTAGGCATTTTTAAAAAAGTTTCTCCATCTCCCCAACTTCATAACCCAGAGCACGGAGGCTGGTACACCAGGACCAGCAGATAGTAGTGTAGATTAGCAGGTGATGCTATTATGTGCAGTCTTTTTTTAGCTGAAGAATTAAAAAAAAAAAAGGCAGAGAAAATAAGACCAGCTTAATTTACCCTCCAAGGTGTGTTCTTCTACCAAATCATCTTTTGCAAATGAGTAGTTCAGCTTAGCTCCCTGCTGTCCCTGAGGGTTGGAAGAGAGAAAGGTGGGTCCTGCCTTTCCTGTGCACTCACAAGGTTTCTGTGATTCCATCTTTTTGTTCTTTTTGGATGTTTCTTGCCTTCTTCCCTATCCTTCTTTGTAGCCAATCATTTTACTGATATTCTTAAAGTCTCCCTGCCTCCTTACCCCTAGTTATTTAGAAGAAAACACACTGTATTGTGCCATTTTATATGTAATTGGAGGAAAACCACCAGCAGGGTTGATGAAAGCTAATGCTGAATGTGGGCCAAGGTTTTTTGTTTTGTTTTTGTTTCTTTCCTTGACCAGAAATGTGCTTGGTTGTATTGCTTTACCACCCACATGGCATGTGGAGCATGGAGGGGCTTGTGCTACTGTTTTGTATAGCTCATCATTTCAATATCTCTTCTGAATTCCTTCAATTTCTAAACAATGAGTAGTAGTTGGCTTCCCTGCTGGTTGTCTAACACTGGGATAGGTACCATGGGCAATTAAAGTCGGCCTTTGTGGGATATGGTGTTTTACTTGGAAAGACAACTTGCTCCCATGAAACAAATTAGAGAGTTGCATAACATTTATATAATCTAGTATTAAATTTGTGGCTTGCAATTCATGGCAGGGTTCTAGAAGACAGGGAATAGAGGAGTCAGAGGGAGACAGTTCAGAAAACCAATCAAGTTCCAATTATTTTTGGATGGCTCTGTGGTAGATATTTTAGGCTCTCACGAACCTTTTATTTAATCACAGAAATAGCAAAGAGGATGCATACTAAGGTATTTAATTGTCCTTTTGAAAAAAGTGTAACATTGAGATTAGGGGAAGCAGCAGAATATATTGTAAGCAAAGGTGTAGGTTATAGGGTTAGTGGTGGACAAAAGAGTCAAGACTGGGCAGTTACTCTAGTCTTATTGCTCAAAAACTAGAGAGTTATTATTCAGTGGTGGCGACTGGGGCTCACTTTTCCCATTTGGAACTGAAGCATCTGCATTGTGTTTTCTTTAAAATCAATCATACAGTTCCTTTTCTCTAGAATATTTTCCCCAGAATCCCCACCAGAGTCTGAAGTGGGCAGAGATGCGGGTAGGAGGCAGTGCCTTGCTCCCATCTTTGTTCTCTCCTTCGGACTACACCTGGCAGTACACAAATACCAAGCCCACCCTGCACAAGCATTCTTAGAGCATCACCAAAACAATTTAATCAGTCACAAAATTGGCCCTCCCTATTGTGTCCCCAGCTAGCATTTTTTCACTCTCAAGCACTCAGGTTCTAGTATTTGCTATAAACAGGGAGTATATACTACAGAACCTTCCAGATAGTCACATGGAGTGAGAGAATGAAATTCTTTTTACCCCATTAGCTTTGGTACATACTGAATGAAACACATTCAGCTTACCCTTGTTTAACTTTTAAGGCCCTCATCATTCCCCGAGTCCCTAGGAATCGGTGTTTCACATGTTGCAAACTTCTGTAGCTGCAGAACCCTTGTTCCTAGGGGATCACCTTACAGGAAAGATATTGTAAGGGCTGAC